TTTGGTCATACTTTCAGCTGAAGTCTTGAAACTTATAAGAAAATGAGGATTTTTTGCATTTGTATTTTGAGCTTTTTTTCTTGATTATGCTTTTATATAGTGATTTAAAAATTCTGATATTTTCAGAAAGTTTCTGAAATTTTCCATTCTGTGGCTGTTCTATCTGATTTCGCTAGAGGGCAGTGCTATGCAACAAATGCATGGAAGGTCTCTGACAAGCACTTTGAAAGATGTGTTTTAAAAAACACCTTTGCAATGGCAGTTAAAAGCCACATCTGTTTGCATGGACCTGTAAAATAAGTGCAACAGGGAATCTTTCCGCTACACAAGAAGCACTTTTTGAAGTCGCGAGTTTAATTCCTATTATCTGTTAAAGCTAATAAAACTACCCCATTATAGTGCTGATTGTGTGCTGAGATCAGAAACAGATTTTAAAGTCTGCTTTGCTTACCCTGCAACAAGGAGTCTTCTGTTTGTGCTACTCTGATTGATATTCTGAATCTAGGTCCAATTAATATTGCCTAATGAATGAAAGTAACTTCAATTAAACTATAATACCTTTTAAAAAAATCTATAGTTAAATGAGTCAGTTTTGAACACCTACTGCAAGAAGCCTGAACCCATCAAGTATTTGCTGTATTTCACTATTTTAATTTTGTGTGTGTGCATGGTTATGAACTGCTTATTATATACTCCCACCTTAATAATGCACCCTTTTCTCATGGAACACTAGGCTAGCTTGTGCTGTTCAAGTGGTAGACTAGTGGTTATGATTCTCAGTACAAACTTCCTAATTTTTTAATAATTAAGTGTTTATCTCTGAAGTACTTGCTGCAGCTTCTGTAAGGCATAACTCTACAGGTTGTTCTTATCTCAGCCTCACTTATTTTTATAATCTCGTGCCTATGACTGTAACATACGAGTAGCTAAAAGGTTATTGCTTTATCTATCCATGGGGTATATGAATTCAGCAACTCTAAGGTGTTGGGGATGCTGAGTCTGCAAGAGATGCTTTGGATGTTCCTTCTAAGTCTTAAGTTCTAGCTATAGAATATAAGAGTAGATGGATCTGCTGCTGATATATCAGAGGATGGAAAGGAACATGACTAAAGATTACACAAACCAGAAGTAACTGCTGCTAATAACTGCAGTAACTATTATGTAACTGCTAAAGAGGTATTTGGCACTATCTGCCTAGTGTATAGACTCTACCTGGTCTATGGTATAGTACTGAGGAAGTAGCTGGAGTATACCTCTCACTGTTTATGAATGCCTATTGATACTGAATAAACAGTACTGAACTCATCTTTGCTGTTTTCATTTGACTTGTAGACTCCTGGCTTACTGATGTCAGACTTCTGTTTAAATTTGTATTTGACCAGCTAGTACTTCTATGAATAGCAAATGACAGTGTTAGGAGTTTTAAGCTGTTTTCTTTCGTAGAGTAGGCTGAGTTTGATTATCTTCTGTTGCTTACTCTGTTTTTTTTTCCTGTCTCTTTAGAGTAAAAGCTTGCTGACTTAAAGAAATACCTGAAGTGTAAATATGAAATAGCTGCATCTCTCCAGAGAGATTGTGTATAACCTGTGGGCAGATGGGCAAATCAAATGAGACAGCTGTTCTAGAGTGATGCCCCTTACTTGCACTTACAAGCTCTTAGTTTGGCTTTTCAGCTCTTAAACCAAGAGGCAGACCTCCTCTGTGGATCATTTACAAGGGTACAAGAGAAGAATTTAAGTTATTTAAACTACAGATTTGATAGTGTTCCCCCCTACCCATACTGTGAATTGCACCTGCCTAAAATACTTAGCACTTATGCAAACCAAGAGAATTAAAACTTTGTTCAGAAACAGGATAGAGTTGAACTTCTGCATCAGCCTGAAGGGAATTGCTGTTTCAGCCCTTAGGCTGAACTAACAGCTTCTCTGGAAGCCTGTGACATGCTTTACATGGGATGACTTGTCTTTGTCCCCTATTCTTTGCATTAATATCTTGAGGGGCCAGTGTGGCTTACTTTGCTACTGATGGTTGGAGGCTTATCTGCATATTTATATCACTTAGTATTAGTATCCCTTGTAGTCAGGGAAAGGACTTGCTCAGGCTGCCTTTATCACTAGTGTGCTTGACCTTCAAGCGTGTAATCCACTGTGAAAAGAAAAACAACATATTACCTTAAGACTCCCAGTGTGCTTTGCAGAACTTGAGATTTAATATTTAGAACTCTGGATTTTATTAACTATTCCTGAGTAAAGTTTATCTATTAGCTGATTGCTGTTTGAATAACAGGTAAAGGCTGTTGCTACTTCTGAAATGTAACTGCTAAGTTCAGGCATGTAAAATTGTATAGGTTTATTGTCAGTCATCTCTCATTACTGTATTGGTTCTATATACTAAATGTACTTGACTTGGAAATGCTTTGGGCTCCACTGAGGAGGTTTTGCTTAGATTGTAGACTTCGCTCTAGCAGTAAGGGTGCATGGTGTATGAATATATTCACCTAATTCCTGGGGTTATGCTACTGGCAGCTGGTCCTGAGTGGAGTTTCTCAGGCTCAATATCAGACCAATACTAACGGCTCTTCATAAATGTCCTAGGTGATAGGATTGAGTGTGATATCATCCCAACCTTGATGAGGGTAAACTGGAAGAAGTAGATATGTCAGAACAAATAGCTTCCATACAGAGATATCTATGGGTGGGAAGACTGAGCAAGAATTGCATTAGGCATAAATGTTCAGGCTTCCTCCTGGCATCGAATTACCCCAAGTAGCAGTTCATACCAGGGTCTGGCATGGGTAACAGCTGAAAAGGACTGGGATGCCCAGTGAGCAGCAAGCTGAACACAAGCTAACAGCATGCCCTGGCAGTTGAAGGGCAAACGGTGTCCTGGGCTGCATCATCAAGAGTTACAGCCAGCACATCATGTGAGGTGACTGTTTCACTCTACTTGGCACTTGGGATACTGTGTCCGATTTTGGTCACGCAGTTTAAGGGAAAGAAAATGAGAAACTGGAGAGGGTCCAGCAGAGGGTTATGAGAGTGATTAAAGGTTTGGAAAACCACCTATGAAGAAAGGTTGAAGGAAGGAATTAGGACTCTTGGAGTGCAAAGCACCTTGATCCCCTTCAAAAAGGAGAGATCTAATCCCTCTTGTGGGAGAAATGAGCCATTCATATGAACAGATTTGAAGCCTAGCCTAAGTTGAATTCTTTTCCTTACCTGAAGTACTTAATCTTGTAGGTAGAGATTTGTGTGGTTACATGACTGAGTTGCAGCCAAATAACTCTTCTAGAATGTCTCAAAGCATGAAATTCCTTTTTGCCTTTACTAGCCTCTGACAGAGTCTTTTTCTTGATTATCTTCTACAGCGTGAAGCCCTAACATAAGGACGAACTGAAATTACTGCTTTTTGTAGCTGAAGAAAATGGCATTTAACTTTTTTGCTGCTTTAACATAGGCATCACTGTTTCCTTGAGTTCAGAGTCTGTTCAGAGAAACATGCTATGTGCTTGTTAAAAATCAACTCTGATGCTGTTACAATACCTTACTAGTAGTTGTCACGCTGAACATAAACCTAATTCTACAGCAAGTGAACAGTACCAACTCTGACAACTAAACTTCTATGTTCCGTGTCCAATACTTGGAATATCAGTTGAAATCATGGGATATTGTCACTTGCAGAGCAAGTTTGTGGGCCTGTGAAATGACTGTAAAATAGTAATTTTTTCATGAGCTACAATACCAGTAGATAAGGTCTTTAATCATTAGAGGGGCTTGGTAACAAGATATGGCAGACTGAGAAGTATACCAAAAACTGGACAGCCTTTTTACTCAGAGTACAATGCCTGAAACACTAGTATGTCACAGTAGGTTTTCAAGGAGGTCGGATAAGTTTTGTTTACAGGTCGTTTGGTCTGACCAACATGCATGGAGACACTTAGAATGTACTAACATTTGTCTTGAATGTTGTCCTCAGTAAATTATAAGCCTGTGCACAAGTGAGTATCTAAACTAGTCAATTCTGAAATTAAGTGATGTTCAGATATAAAGAAGTCTAACACATGCAGTTCAGTAATGTAGATTGTGGGGAGATTGGCAGGACTTTTCTTGAGTAGGCAAACAACCTTGTACTCCCAATAAAACACAAAAAAACCTGTGGCTAATGCCTCTAAACTGCTTGGAGGAACTTCTGACCTTGGCTTTGAACTGTAAGCCTCATGAAGATGAGGGTGGGCGGGGGAAGAAATATTGGCTTTTTGTTTACTTCACCTGGTATACTGCTGTGTTCCTATCAGTGGAAAGGATCTTAAGCTCTACATTGGGAAGATCTGTGCACAGTGTTATACGGAAAAGAAAAGAATCTTTGAACAGTATAGGACTTATAAATAGGAGCGAGTCTCAAAGATACCTATTTGTCAATAAACTAAATAGTCTTTTGAATTTAACGTATTTTAGATATCACCTAGTTTTTGTGCTTTTTCCTTCTCCAGGAATTTTTTAGTAAGCTAGGTTTCTGCATTGTCTAGGTAATTTCATTTTAGCCTACAGCATTGTTTTCTTCGACTACCAAGAAATTGTGTGTATATTTAGCTTCTAAAACTACTTGTCTGTTTAAATTCAGTACATCTAATTCCTGTATTATGCAGCCTTTTTATTACTCTAAGGTAGGCAAATTAAGGTTTTGGGAAGGCAAGTGACTTGAGGAAAAATGGGCAAGCTTGGAAAAACTTCAATTGGGTATGCTTGCAGGAAGTCTTAATGCATACTGTAGTCTTTCTTCCTGAGAAGATGAAGCACTATAGGAACAATATGGGACACTGGAAATCAGCGTGGCATGTTTTAGTTTTGTTTTGCTCATAAAAAGATGGATAGAATTGTTTTTGTCCTAATCTCTGAAAGAGGAAAAATGATTGAGATACCTTATAGCTGCAACATAGTAGACTTATCAAATGAAAATATATGGCAGAAAATTTGAGTATGTATCTTGCCTTTTTATTTTAGGCTTATGGTATGTCAGCTTTGCCTCTAAACTTGATTAAGGGAACTACTAGTGCTGCATATGAACGTTTGGAGAACACTGAAGATATTGAAGAAGTGGAACAACACATATTAAGGATTAAATCAAAGGTTTGATCATTGCTGCTTGCTTTCTGAATGGATTCTTTGTTCTTGCTTGGCTTACTAGTTTGGCCTTATCACGCTGAGTTTTTGTTCCACATAAATGGAAAGAAGGGCAAGTTAAAAGTGATTAGATTACATTTTGATTTTAGTTATTTGGGAACAAGTGCAATAACTTGTGTAGTACAGGTCAGGGTTTCCTTATCAGTCCTCCAGCCATAGTTGTTTGTACTATATCTAGTTAATGACAGTGCTGTTCTCCACTTGATAGGTTAAACTCATTAAACTCAAGTGCCACTTGAATGTGTGGAAGAGATGTTTTCTGGAGATTAGAAGTTATCAACTTCACTTAAGGTGTATCTTCTACCAGTTATGGCACCCAGTTTGCTGATACTTATTTATTATATTGGTGTTGGGCATTTGCCACATGGAACTGCTGTGAGTTGGTTTAAATCTTCAAACTATTGCTCCTCTTTGAATATCAGCCCCAAATAGCCTTGCTCCCTAGCTGATGTACCTTATGGTTAAGAGTTATTTTTGTGTGAAATGCATAGATAATCTCACTTCTGCATCCTAAACATCCTTAGGATGTTAACACAATGTGATTTGATATAAATCCATGGGCGTTTCATGGCTCACTGAAATTGTATGTGTAAAATAAGCAGGACAGTGCTAACAACCTGAGACTCAAGCTGAAGAGGGATGGGATTTTTCTTCTGTAGGTACAAGATGCGAGGGAAGAGGGAGGACTACCCCACACCCCTTTCCAACCAAACTAGTGTTTTAAAAGCCCTGAGGGGGAACTATCAAGTATATTGCTTTCTTTCATCCTAGCAGTCTGGGTGTGCAGTTCTGTGCCCAGTAGTGCTGAACCAGTTCCAGCTGTTGATCTGATTCTCTTAATACCACTTTCACGTAGTAGTGATACTTTTCAGTGTTCTAGAAATCCCGTTGGGTTGTGAAACCTAAAGTACATTGCTTAGTTTTAAACCTAAGCTTTGGTTTTGTGCGGAGTATAACTGCAACAGACATCTTTGCTGAAACCAGCAATATGGGAGAAAAGAGAATTGCCTGAAAAATAGTAATACTTGTTGCAGAAGATTTTCTGTTTTCTTTTGCATCATAACCTTGGAAACAGCTTATCCTGTTATCAAGTCTAGGTATATGCTGTGACAAAGCAGGGTTCAAAATTACAAAGACTTTCTACAAAGTTATATATTGCAATGTGACTATTGATACAAACCAATTTTCCTTAGTTCATGGATCATGATCAGGACATTGCCTCCGTGTTCAGTTAAAATTGTAACGGTTCTTCACAATTGTATTTGCATAAAAACAAAGAAGGTGAAAGTGTTCTTGAAGTTACCTTGACAATGAAAGCCTGCAGAGTTACAAATGTATGCCACTTAGTCTAATGTAAAGGTTCAGAATATAGTCTGGTTTTCTGTTGCTAGTATACCTAATAGCCTTGCTTCATTAGTCTTAAAACATAGTTGGAAGTGAGTGGAAGCCTGGGCTATGGATATTTTTAAGAGTCTCAAGTCATTTTGAAGTGCTAAACAGGATATGGGGAAGATATATGTTCTTAGTCTTAATATTACATAGCAATCTCAAGTTGTTACATGTATCTAGAATGTGATCTTGGTAGTCTTGGAACTTTTTGTTGAGAAATTTCATCTAAAGCAATGTACTTGTTTTCATAACTTCATCTAGGTATGCAGTGTTTCACTATTTACAAGAAGGTTTATTTTAAAATGAGAATACAGTGAATAGAGAACTAATTTAGCACCTCCACCACTGCTTGCTTTGCAAATGAAATTTTAAAGAAATTTCCTTATCTAAGGATCAGTTACACAGTAGCATCAGTATGTTAAAAAAGCTTAGTTCCGTTACCTTACAGCCCTTTCACTAATTCCACTTCTTAGTGTGCAATGGTGATACAGAGGTATGAAACTGATTTACAATGGACTACAACAGAGCCTCCTGAGTATTCTGAGGCTCAGAAGTGAAGTATATTCTTGAACAGAATCATCAGTCTTGGGATTCTTATCTGGTAGGCTTGGCTAATTATTGGTACAATGTTGCCTCTTGTTTAGCTTGTTTAAACTGGCTTTCAGAGTAGTAAGATGTCTTGTTCTTGCAAATATGAGAAACCTTGCTGAGTGTCTGAAGGAGTAGTAGAGTGCTGGAAGGAAAACACAGGTACCAAGCTAAACATACTGGCTTGATCATGGAATTCTGATTTGAAGGGACTTCTGGAAGTCATCAGGTCCAACCCCCTATATAAAGCAAAGCCTTCTTTCAAGTTAGATCAGCATGTTCGGCTTGCAGCAGCCCTTCAAATATCTCCAACTGTGGAGACTCCTCAGACTGCTCCAACTTTTGACCACCCTCATTGGGAAGTTTCTTACCACCTAATAGGAATTTCTGATGTTGCAACTTTTGCATCTCATCCTTTTGCTGTGCATATAAAGTGTGAATTATTATACAATGAGCTTAAAGCTGTTGTAACTTGCTAAACCAAATGTTGAATCTACTCTTGTTTCCATTCAGTTGTTTCTTACTCTTATGCATGATATTTTGATCATCAGTGCAGAGATGGTCGGCCCCTATCATCAAGAGACAGACGGGCTGTACAGCAACTTGAAGAGAGATTAAGGACGCTTCGAAGAAGAGAGAGACATCTGGAATTTATTGAGAAAAGTTGGTGGGCAAAGTTCTGTGAAGCTATCAGACCTCTAAAGGTAAGAAGTTTTGACTTTTTTGAGACTTAAATTGCATATAACTTCCAGGTTTCTTCCTCCCTTAAATCAAAGCCAAGTCTATCGTATTAACATGCTGAATCTTAACTGTTTTATTCTTTTCTTACACCAGTGACAGCCCTACAGCAAGCTCAGGTATTTAAGTTCTTGGATAAGCTTTTACTTTTTCTAAGATTTGACTGTAAGATTGAAAAGGGTAACGCTTGCTGTCATTAGGTTGTACAGTGAAGTGTTTTTTTCCTGAACTTTGAAAATTGGATTGTCCTGTTTTAGGAGAGCATTACTTCAAATCATAACTTGCATTTTTTAAAGCTTGCCAGGGAGGGACTATAAGCAGTATCTTAATGTTATTGCTAGTGTTAATGCTGAGTACTGCTAGGAACAGACTAAAAGTCAAGTTGAACAAAAACCTTCGGTGTGGAATTCATGGTAGAGTTATTGTTCTGTGACACCTCAGAAATCTAAACTTTAGTCCTTTCATTTAAAGGACAAATATCCATAACTCTTCACTTCAGTTTGGGTGCTTCTCTTGATTCAAAGTAACTTGTATACTTTAACTCTTCACACTAACCTTGAAAATTTGAGAAATGCATTGGCCATATCTAGTGTCTGTCAGACTTATTTTGTTCTCATAGGACAGTGTACAACAAGACTAGCTACTTATAGGTTACCACTTATGAGGACACTATTCCAGCATCTCTTGCAGTCTGAATGTTGTTTATTCTCTGGTTAACGGTGACAGCTGTTATTGGAAATGGCTTTGACCTAAGAATCCCAGACTTAAGAGGAGGAACTTCTAGTCGATCTTTCTTCCTGGCACATGCTCAATTAGAATAGTGTTGTGCTGTGAAGCATGTTAAACTTGTCTTTACTCAGAATTTGCTTAAAGCCATCCTTTGAAGGTGATAGCATCCACCATTTAAGAATTAGCACCTTAACTCTTGCAGGACTGTTTTACTTTAGTGTGTTTCATGTGTTTCTATGCACAGATACAACTTGTCAATGGTTCAAATGGTGGCCTTTATAAGGAGAAGTAAATCTATTTTGTGGTCATATACAGTGCTCCTGATCATTGTAAAAGTGCAGAAAATCTCTTGGAGCTTTGCTAAATGCTTTTATAGCACTTTCAATTTCAATCTTTAATGTAATATTTACTCTTAAATGAGTTCATCCATTTAAGAACATGATCCTTTCTCAAATTACTGGTAGATATGGAAAGCACTATTTGTTTTCTGTTTGGTATGGTCAGGTTTATAGGAGTTGTAAGTTCTTGCTGGGACTGGCAGGACAATAGCAGCATGTTCAGGAATAAAACTTAGTCTTGGATTTTTTTTTAGTGTTAAACTAGCATCTAAATTCAGACTCCTGTAATTTCTTTGTATAGTGTTTTGTCTAGTTAGTCTTTTACATTCTTATATTTTAAATATTTTAGTTAAATCTATTAGGATGTGACTTGTTTTTGCACGAGGTCAGAACTTAATCTTACTTTTCAGAGAAATTTCTTTAAACCAAAATATTATGAGAATGTTTCTGCTTTTCTCAAAGCTATATCAAACTTGAACATGAAACTGTTTTTTCAGTTTAGTCAAAAACAAGATAATGGAAGATGCCCAGGAGATGAGTTACACAGCATGGGGTTGTCAAGACTTTCTACAAAGACAAAGTTTTGTCTTTCTACAAAGAGCAGCCTTTTCTGTATACAAGCATCTAGTGTGTCTCCTTTTAGTATGGCTTCTCACTGTCATCTGAACATTCAGCAGCAAGAGAAATAGTATTTACTGTAGCATAGGTACAGAAGCTGTTTAGGGGAAAACTCCAGAGTAGGTACTCCAGAGTTCACTTTTCCCAACAGTAGGAAGCTTTGAGTATTGCATCAGGTTTTCATGGGCTGCTTCAAGACAGTTGTGAGCCAGCTGAAGAGATGCCTAATGTGAGTAATGGTGATTGATTTTTTTGAAGATGGGACCTGTGAGAATAGAAGAAACCAACTTGAGTGGCTTAGCTTAAGCAGGGACTCAAAAGCATCAACATCAGTCCAAGTACATGAAAGGTGTTGCAAAGAGGAGAATATAGTGTTCTCTTGATAGTGACGCCTCAACTCTAGTGAGGGGGAGATTAGATAGAGGAGAATCAATAACAATCTTGAGGATCATGAGGCTTTGGTATTGAGTCTTTAGTCCCTTCAGCTGTTGCTGAAGGCCTTCAGAGAAGTATAGGTATGATTAATGCTGCCTTAAGCGTTGGGGGCTAGGTTACTCCTCAACTTTTCTGTCCGTTTTCCTAGTACTGATTTTTCAAACTTCTGGGGAGAGCCAAAAGAGGGAAGCTTTGCCAATTGTGCAAGGCTTTAACAGTAGCTGTGCTGACAGTGTTAGTACAGATTGTAGGTGCTGACTGTCTGCCAGTTTAGCTGAGTCAGAGGTGGTGTGGTTGACAGAGGTTTTCTTCCTGCCACCACAGCTGCATCTTTATTAGGGATGTTGGCAGCATAAGAGGTGTGAATATTTCATGTCTGAAGTTTTGCGTAGTGATAACTGTAGAGCTTGTTAGAGAAAGCAAAGCACTTGGGAAAGATGGGTTAAATATTGACTGAGTTAGAAGCTGAAAAGTATAGAATACCATGCAAGAATATAACTCTCGTATGTGTGGAATCCGGCTTTGATTCTTGGTCAGTGTAAAACTGTTGAAGTGTTGCTTCTGTGCCATCAATTTTTTTTACTCTGCTAGTGGATGTTGCCTGCTCCTTTGAGTTCTCATGTTGCTTTGGTGTTGATTCAAAGGCATGGAATAGCTATCCTAAACTGATTCAGGTTTTTATAGTTGCTTCACAAACCCCACTATGGGAAATAATTGGGCAGGCAAGTATTCCTTTTTTGGAGAGGCAAATATTAATACTACCTAGCTCATTTTAGAAATACCACCTAAATTTGTGCATAAAAAAAGCTCAAAATGAATTAAATACTAAGTATCATGATTTTAGTAATTCTTAGAAACTATCTGTAGCTGAAACAAGTTAGCTTGACTAACTTGAACAGGGGTGGGAGACAGCTTTCTGAATACCTCAGAAGCAAGAATGATGGGAAGAAGTTTAGAAAGGTGAAGGGAGATAGTAGGGAAAATGCTGTAAGCTGGGCATAACTTCAGAAAAGCTTAATCAGCTTGCAACTTATGTGCAGTAGCAATGGAAAAATATACAGTAACCCAGCTGATGCTTTTTCTCTTTGGTCCAGCTTATTCAAGTCAAAAGCAATTTAGCATTCTAGTATGACCTAGAAATGGCACACTTTCCCCTTTTACTGTGAGAATTGCTTATTTTGACACTTATTTTCATTTTTACTTAACCGTACCTTTTTAATCCCTCGTCAAATGTAAGGCAAAGCTTTCTTGGGAAAACTTTTTGTGCTCCGCTTCAGCCTTATCTACCAGTGTAGAGGCTTTCTAATACTAAGATGCCAAAGGAGCTCATTTGAGGCAGCAGCATAAGTTGCAGTAGTAGGTGGCATTATTTCTACTGATTATTTTTTTTGTAATGGTTGTGGTCTTGCATAAAATGGTTCACTGGCAGTTACTGTATGCATACTAGCATCCACAGCAGACTGAATCAGAAGACCTAAGCAAACAGTTATACTGTATCTCTTGATCTGAGAGATGAGAGCAAGGTGGTAGCTCTGCAACCTGTTCTGTAGCACATGTATGAGTACAGGTAGGGTGGGTAGACAGACATTCTGCTCTGTAGATGGGAGATGCAAGGAAGTGGCCTGATGAAGGAGCAGTCTTAAGTGTGTGTTTCTGTTGTGAGGGAGGCAACAGCATAGCTTGAGGTGTGATGGCACTGAGGTCCTGCTCTCAAAAGGTAGAGGTGAGGAAATAGTAGGGTGTTAAGGGACTAGAGAGTAGGAAGCAAGGCTGTCTTGCACTGGAAGTCATACCTCTTAGTACAGATCAAAGGCTACCTTTTTTTGTAATGACCTTACTGAATTTGTGCTATTTGGCTGAAACAAAGCTCTTCCCTTTTCACGTGTTCTAGTACTAAAAGCTTTTCAGCATCAGTTGATACAGTCCTGTTCCTCAGACCAAGAAGTTCTGGTTAAAGACTATTCCTTGCTATGAAATTAACATACTTGTATTTTCATTCCTTCATTGAAACTGTAGATAAGATTTTACTTTTTGTATCAACTTCACAAGGATTTTCAGTTACGTTCTGATATCTTTATTTTAGATTGTGTGGGGAGTATTCTTCATCATCGTGGCGCTGCTTTTCACTGTCTCTCTCTTTTTGTCAAAGTGAGTAAATTTCAGTGTTTTTCTCAACTGCTTAAACTATGTAGTTTCTGTTCCAATTTTGAAATCAGTTTTGAAGCAAACCCACCCTCTATATACATGAATCAGCATACTTCCTATGCTATGGTTCTGTAATTAGTGTTGCATTTCTCATTGTAATAGCATATACTGAAACTGAACAAAACTTGCTAAAACGAATTGGATAAAGGACTTGGTTCAGCTTGATTAACTGTGTACTACTGAAAACCATTTTAATTCAGCAGAGCAATTAAGCATATACTGTAAATAAGTTTAATCCAGATCACAGGAATATCTTCAGTTTGAGTGAATCTAAGTATACATAGGGCACTTCTTAGGTTGATGGTCAAATTCATGCAATGAATGACATGTATAATCATTACTAATACATATAATACATTATTTCATGGAGTTGAAAGCAATATAGGCAACTAGAAATCTGGTAGGTTTTAATGAAGATTGACACTTAACCTGAGGTCTCAGTTTTGACACTTATTTTTGAGACTGGGCAAATATCCTGTATGGACAGACTAGGGAAGAACTGAAGTACCAAGAACGCATGAAGTCAAATATGTTTTTACAGGACAAGTGCAGTAAGTGTGGTAAAACAGTGTGTATAACTGTAAATGAAAGCTTTCAGTCTCTGGGCTTAGTTTAGGTCAGCTCATTAAAGCAGCACCAATCAAAATGAAGACAAAGCTTTGGGAGGACCATAGTACTTAAACAGTTGTTCTTAATTACTGCAGTTTGGACAAGGCTCTACATTCAGCTGGCTTCGATTCTGGATTTATAATTTTAGGAACTAATCTGACCAATCCATTGAATATGCTTTTACCTGTTCTTCAAACAGTAAGTAAACAGCTGGTGATATATGTATGTCAGGATGCTCCTCTGTTTCCTGGTAAGCTGCCAAAAGACAAACTGCACTCAAAATAATTCAGTAAAAGGAAACTGCATGTTCTATAAAAGACTGCTTCTTTAATCTATTTTAGTTATCTGAGGTTACTGATGTGAAAATCTTGTGTGGATGGGAATCAGTTGCTGGAGGAAGGTAGTACTTGATGCAACAATAACTTTCAGCTAGTAAGAACTTAGTAGTAAGGAAGAGTGACAATGGCTGTGGTGGTTATGCTCAGACTGAAAGGGAACACTTTCTTTTTCCCATACACTACCTAAGTTTGAGGAGTTTGAGTACTCGATAGTTCTCTGCAATGTAATAAATGTTCTTCACTTTTTAGTATTTATTATGTTTTGAAATATATAACATAGCTATTTATATTGTATGTTATACAATATAAATTTAATACACCTTTAAAACAATGTACAAGAACAAGCAGTTCAGAACAAGCCCTACATAAGAACAAGCCATTATTAACTTGCATAGGGCTGGAAGACAACAAAGCCACATATAAACTTGGCAATCATTCGTGAGTGAGCTAACAAAAAACCCAAGCCTCAATGTTAAGCCAGTGTTCCTCTCTCCCCCTGTTGAGTTGTCTCCATGTATGTTAGTTTGGTGCAATGTGTTGCTCATCTCAAGGTTTCTAAACTATTAAACAATTCTATAACCTACTGGGGAAGGAGGTGTTCAACAGTGTGATCCTGGGCTCTTACTAATGTAACATAAAAATCAGCAACTTTATTTCTGGACATACCTGCACACATTCAAAAATAGAATGTCTGTGTAGTCCTAAAGTGATTGTATCATTGTGGACTTCATGTTGAAAACCATTCTCAAAATGGAATTAAGTATTTCTAGACCTGGAAATGTGTAACTTCAAAATTAAGGCAAAGTTTGTTTGGAAAGTATTCAGTTGCTTTTCCAGACTAATTTTATCGGTTCAACTTGCAGCCAGCTATACAAAAAAATTCTTAAATGAAAGGTCTTCTACCTCAAATGTTACCAGTAGAAAGTATTTAGCTTCATTTGGGTGAAGATCTTCTAATATGAGCACTTCATTGTCCTTTTTCCACTGATTGTATGCTTCTTGTTTTTAGGTTTTTCCACTTGATTATATTCTTATTACAACTATTGTCATGTACTTTATCTTCACTTCAATGGCAGGCATTCGAAATATGGGTATATGGTTCTTCTGGATAAGGGTAAATATCACTTAGTGAGTATTATAAGCTAAATGCTTGAAATGTTTAAAAAATGACTATTTGATATAGAGCTTTTATTTTACTGCTTCATAAATACTGGGATGTTGCAAACATTCAGTCTGTATGGTGTGTAACGAGTGTTAGTCTATTGTACAACTTCACAAAACAGCAGCTTTAAAAACAGGGGAAGCTGAAGCCAAACCTAATGTTTTAGCAAGGTTAAACAATCAACTGACTCATTTCCCAAGTGTTAAAACATGTGGCACTTGCCTTCTGACTTTTCTAAGCAGCAGTATCTGATTCAAATGTATACTGGAAGCAAGAATGCATTTAATCAAAATTAGTCTGCAATGCACATTCAGTAATGTTAGTCTTGCTTTTTAGGTGGGAGGCAAACATATCTAGATAAGAGATAGTACAGCAATGGTATGAGATATCTAAATACAATATCCAAATTAATTTGACAGAATATTACTGTATTTGAAGAGACAGCTTTTGTGTTCAACGCTGTCATTCATGTCTGTGATGCTTGGTTCAATATTTTCTTGCTTCTGTTCTTGTTTTCCCTTTATTGCTGACACTGAAATGGTAATGTCACAACATTGTGAACAGTGACCCTGTTCTGACAGTAAGTTGTAATTGCTCCTGCCCCTCACTGGACAGTCTCTCTCTCTAGTGTGGTACTGAGCATTTCAGGATTAGAGGAGTAATATCTACAGGTAACAGCAGGGGGTTATATTCCGTGTGGGATAGGGTGGAAAAGATGCCCCCATATGATGCACAGGTCTCTTAGTCCCTGGGAGTACTATATCAACTACTTCCTCTGTTTCTAAATCTGGTTAGAGGGCTAGGGATAGATGGCAACTTAAACTGACCAAAGGACAGAATATTATACTTGATAGATCAAGGCAAAATTTGTGATACCAATGATAGGCAACACAATTTAAATCTTGCTATTAACCACTGTTCTAGGAAGCTTTCTAATTTACAAATATTTTTGTTTATCGATACAATCTTGATTAAATAGCTGTTCTCTGAAATTTGGGTAAATGTAGCTGAAAACCTACTTTGACTCATAGGAATTGAATTGCCAGAGGAGCACTTTACTGACAGAAGTGGGAGTCTGCAGAATTAAAGCTATTTCTTGGATTAAAGAGGAATTATAAGAGTCTTTGGTAGAAACTGGATTTTCATCATGTTAATATTTGTATATTTTCTTGTTTTAGCTTTATAAAATTAGACGGGGAAAAACTCGACCTCAAGCACTCTTATTTCTCTGTATGATACTTCTATTGATAGTTCTTCATACAAGCTACATGATCTACAGTCTTGCCCCTCAGTATGTAATGTATGGAAGCCAAAAATACCTGGTACAGGTAAGTCTTGACATGTTTTTATTTTACAAGTGACTTGACTTTCTGATTTTTAAAAATATATTAACTGTTTACAATAACTTTTAAATCCAGGCCCCAAGTCTTCAGGGTTTTGAAGACTTATTGTTACCATCTTCTCAGTTATTAGTAGGTCTTCTGGTACTGCATAAGGTGGAAACTGGCTGTACTGTAGCCAATGCAGCTTTTCATTCCTAGATCATCTTCACATGGTGTAGAACTTTGGCTATTGCTTCACTCATTTTGATAAGACAGCTGCCAGCCTCCTAGATTTTATATTTGTACACTTATGTTGCTGAATGATTGTAGTGAGGGTTAAATTTCTTGTGGAAGTCTGACCAAAAGCAACATGTTACTGCTCTTAAGCTGATATTTTTTACATGCCTTTTTGTTGGGGACAGCAAAGATGCTTGGTATAGCAAAACAATGCTCGGAACAGAGTTAAGTATCTACTGACTAATACCAGTTCAAGCCTTTTGGAATGCATCTCATTTCAGTAAACTTGTTCCAGTTCTTGCTGTTCTTTAAAATCTTTTACAGAATTAACCAGTGAACACTAGCCTTTGCTGCTTTTGTTTATTACACTTCTAAGTTTCTTCTGTTCTCTCTAGTCTCCTCTGTGTCTGAATGCTTTACACAGACTAACAGAATAGTTGAGGCCAGAAAGGACCTCTGGAGATAATCTAGTCTAGCCCTCCGCTGTACTCTCTCCAGTAGGGCCATGTCTCTCTTGTAGTGGGGAGCCCAGAAGTGGACCCAGTACTCCAGGGGAGGCCTCCCCAGGGCTGAGGAGAGGGGGGAGCATCACCTCCCTCCACCTGCTGGCAACACTCTGCCTCATGCACCCCAGGGTACCATTGGCCTTCTTGGCCACCAGGGCACATGGCTGGCTCATGTTTAACTTGTCCGCCAGCACTCCCAGGTCCTTCTTGGCAGAGCTGCTTTCCAGCAGGTCAACCCCCAGCCTGGACTGGTGCCGGGGGTTCTTCCTGCCCAGGTGCAGGACCCTGCACTTGCCTTGGTTGAACTTCAGGAGGTTCCTCTCCGCCCAACTCTCCAGCCTGTCCAGGTCCCTCTGAAAGGCAGCCCAGCCTTCTAGTGGGTCAGCCACTCCCCCCAGTTTAGTATTATCACTAAACTTGCTGAGGGAGCACTCTGTGTCACTGATGAATATGTTGAACAAGACTGGACCCAGGACTGACCCCTGGGGGGACACTGCTAGCTACAGGCCTCCAACTTGACTCTGCGCCATTCACCACAACCCTCTGAGCTCGGCCATCCAGCCAGTT